CAGATCACGAAATGTGATGAACATGTTCAAATTCGAAAATCATATTTGAAGTCTCAAAATCTGAAAAGAAAGAAAGAAAGAAAGAAAGAAAGAAAGAAAGAAGAAGAAGAAGAAGAATAAAGTGAAAAAGGTCTGGATGCCAAAAGTACAAGTCCCTCATGCTTGTGAAAAAGTTCAGAAAGTACAAGCCAAGCATGTTGAAATAAGATTTAATTCTCACTTTTGTTCAGATGGAGATGTTAGAAGTTGGAGAAAAAGGAAAAAGGTTTATGGTTGGGTCAATGAGATTTATGGAAATTTTTGTTTTGCAACAAAGAAGCAGATCTCAGTTTCAGAAGATGAGCGTTTTTCTTCAAACAAACAGGCTTGCAAAAAGTCTTCATCAATTTTGAATCTAAAATGGGTACCAAATGTTTCTTAAAAGTTTCAAAAAACAAAAAAAATAGTAGGGGTGAAAATTTTGAAGAAATCGATTTTTATTGTTTTAAAATGGATGAAATTGACAGCACAAAGCCTCGAAAAGATATTTTTCTGCCATCATTGGTAAACGTAAAAGTTGTCAAAAAGGTGAAAGATGGACTGAAAAGTGGCAACTCTGCGAAAAGGGGGATAAAGGGACATTTTCTGCAAAAAGTAAGGGCCTGTTTGATTTAGGTATGACTGGGTCAATCAGAGCATTTTTCAGACCCAATCCAATCAGCCCGTTTGATTTGCACATTTAGGACTCTGACCGAATCATTTTTCATCTGACCGAGTCCTTCAAAAATAATAGCTGACTGAGAAACCTTCCTGATGTTTACCCTTTGTCGATCTCCTCTACTATTCAGCCAAATCTCTACTCTTCTCAGCAACGATAATCCTTCTTCCTTGTGGCCATCGACACCATCTTCCAACTTCGTTGTCATCGCTTCCATCCTCTATCCCGTTGTCCTCGCTGCCCTCTAAATAGTTGGTAAGCTTCAGATATCTCCATCTTTAAAATCGGTTTCTCTCAAAATTAGAAAAAAATATTAGCAATCTCTCCAAATCGTTTCCTATGTAAATTAGAGCTGAATCTATTGCATATATACCTTCTATTGACAGTTTTATTCGATTACAAGTATACCAACATCAAATTTGGATGGATTTCGAATGGGACCAACATATCAAGTTACCAGGTTAGAATACTAATTTCTTACCAATCTATCCAAATTTTCTACTAATTTGCTATTTAGTAAATTGAATTTTAGTGCTTTTAGACATTTAGTTCCTCGTTCTTTTATAACTCTCCATGACATTTAGTTCCTCATTAACTGAGTGAGTTAGATTTTATAGCCTTAAAAGTGTAACTAAGCTTGTGTTTTTTCATGGATTCTATATATCCCAAAGAAGGTGAAAAAAGAAACTCCAACAAAAACGAGTTTGTTTGAAAAATCAATGAAATTATGATTGCCATGCAGTAAAAAACAAGAGCTAGAACTCCAAATGGTGAGGTTATTTCAGAAAAAAGAGATTAAGAAACCTCAAATTAGTTACAGAAATAGAGCCTGTGGACCAGAAATTTGGTATCCTACCTGCCATATAAAAATTGCCTGCAAAAATGAAGTGTGGTGGGTCGTAAGTATGGGCTTTGCAGACTTTTGATATCTGGTATTGACTTAGGGGGTGTTTGGGAAAACTTTTTAAGGTTAAAAGTCCTTTTTGCAAAAGGACTTTTTGGCTAGTGACTTTTTCCAAAAAAAAAATTTAAAAAGTGTTTGTATTTGCTTTTAAGGTAAAAGTTAACTTTTCAAGTTAAAAAGTCCCAAAAGTCACAAAAAGATAGGATTTTGTGACTTTTGAAACACTCTATTTTCCTTCTATACAAAAAGTCATTTAAAAAGATCTTTTTTAATACCCAAACATCTTTTATATATTTTTTAACTTTTTGGAAAAGTTAAAAGTCAAAAGTTGTTTTAAAAGCCATCCCAAACACCCTCTTATTGAAGCTTTTGTAACTTGTTCTTGTCTTAATTAGAGGCGAAAAAGATTTAGTTGGTTTTGTTTGGTTGCTTAAATGTTTGTTAGCATTGTGGGATATTTTGTTTGACATAAACAACCTTTACTTAGTACCGTTAGAGTTTCTGGATCGGAATTAAGACGGGTTGAAACTCAGAAATCAGATTTCAACAATATCAATCAAAATTGCAACCTCAAAATCGCAAATCGGAAGTATTTGGTTGTTTGTCGGAATCGGAATTGCTCAGGTTTTCGTAATTGGTTTAATGTTTTCGCAGTCGACCTAGCAATCGGAAGTGATCTTTGCTGCATACTTCATTGAGATCGATTCTGATTTTGACTTTTAAAGTCAAATGAACTGGTTTATCTCCGTTCATATGAAGAACGTGGTCAACTTTCAAGATGCAGTCCTCAGAGTTCGAACAACTTAACAATTTCAACCTAGATTTTTAAAATCCTTTACAACTTCTTGGGATTTTACAATTTTTACCCCTTCTTACCAAAATATTTTCATTTCATATCCTTTTGTTTGGTCTTATTCTTTTTAAACTCTTCTAAATAATTGTTTCTTATTCTATTCTTTTTGTCTAAAATTTTAAAACGAAAAATACAAAATATTTTTTTGTTATTTTTCTGTTTTTTAATTTATGAAAATCATGAAAATCATGAAAATCCAAAAAGAATTTATGTCAACATTTGTTCAAATCTGACGGGTTTTGAAGATCCATTTTGGCAAACCCGCTCCTTATGAAAGAGTAGGTTATACGCAGACTTTCACTATGAGATAACGTAGGATGTAGGTGATTCTTCTTAGCTTTCTGGATTCTCTCCATGGTATTTGTTGAAGATTCAATGGGGAGTTCGCATTTGGATGATGATATTTGATTCTCTCGCTTTGAAGACCCCATGTACTGATGAGTCTCACAATTTAAGGGGAGAAATGCCAAGAAGATCGGAAATCTTGATCTTCATCAGTTTCAACATCTAGGGAGAGATTGTTGAGTATTTGAGATATTGAAACCGATTTGACATTTTTGGTTATTTAAGGAAGCCTTTTTAGGGTTTTATATTTTTGGTAAATGTTTTATGTTCCCTATAAATAATCATTAGGTTAGCTTTTGTTGTAAGTTTTTTCCAAAAAAAAGGGTTCTATGTACGTTCAAATCGAAATTATTGAGAATCAGAAACTGTCAGATTACTTGCACATTATGGTGATTGATTCATGATTGTTCTTCAGATTCCGCATTCGTCATCTCATCATTATTCCCAACAGTTTCTGACGATCCTTATATCCAAGAAAAAGTGACGAGAAGCTCTACGCTTCTATCAACTCCTACTTGCATTAAAACTTTCCGAACTAAAACCCAAAATCCATAAAATATCTTATCTTTTTTTAGAGTATTTGAGTGTACTCTAAATGTAATTAACATTTAATAAAAAGATATATTGTATATCTAAACATATATTCTATATTTTGTTTAAGTCTAGTAAATTAATTAATAAAATATAATAATGAACTCCAAATACATATAATTAATTAATCAGGCATAATAAGAGTAAATTATAGTTTTGGTCCCTGTGGTTTGGTCAGATTTGTACTTTCAATCCAATTTTCGAAATATTGACAAGATACATCCTTGTGGTTTAAAGAAATTGCACTGCACATCCTTAGTCCATTTAAAAAGACCATTTTACCCTATATATATATTATTGTTTAATTTTTTATTTACATTTTATTTTATTTATTTATATTTTTTATTATTTAGAATTAAGTTGAATTTTTTTTAGAATATGTTGTTTAATGTTTTTTACATTTTGTTCGTTTATATTTTTTTGATGTTTTTTTTGAATAATGATTTCTAGTTTTTTGACATGTTGTTTGAATACATTTTAATTTTTTTGATGTTTTGTTTGTTTGTATTTTTTAAAATATTTTTTTTGTAATATTTGTAAAAGAAATCGTTAGATGTGAATATCATTAACATAAATTAAGTATAAATTTAATTTTTTAATGGGGTTAATAGATAGGCTAACCGAAATTCGAAAACAAGTTTCAAGTTATAAAATGGCTAAATGGAACCTATATAACTCGAAAACGAACAAAATTTCCAAAAAAAATGAACTCGAAAACATTGACACGTATGTTTGAGTTATAGGTATTCTGATTAACATTTGTCATTCGGAACGAAATTTTAAAAAATTTCTAAAACTAAAAAAATTGGAATCGAATCCATTGACACTCGTTTCGAATTCCAGTTGCCTATACAATAACCCTATTAAAATAAATAATTTTATACCTAATATATGTTAATCAAATTCACATTTAACAAACTTTTTTGTATTCTTTTTTATACAAAAAGCATTTCTAAATAACTTTACAAAACTATAAAAAAACAAAAGATAAAAAAATTAAAAATATATCCAAACAAAACATCAAAAAAAAGTTATTCAAATAAATGTTAAAAAAATGTAAACGAATAAAATATAAAAAACTTTAAAAAATATATTGGAATAAAATTTCAAAAAAAAATCATAAAAAATATAAATAAATAAAATAAAATGTAAGCGGATAAATATTAAAAAAAATGAACACTTATATAATTAAAAAAATTAATATTAGCTGTGAATGAACTAATTTTTGTAAAGTTTCTATAAATTATCGTGAATTTAAAAGGGATCGGCCTAAAATTTTTTTTTTTTTCAATTAGGAATGTTGATTTGAATTTAAATTGAATTTAATACATTAATTGACAAATTAAGTGAGAATTTATAGAGATATTTAAGTTTCTTTTTTTTCTTTATTATATTTTTAGATAAGATTTTTTTTATAATTTAATAACAATTCAAAAATCCACAATTTGCCAAGTAGATTTATATAAAATTGAAAAAAATAAAAAAATATCATATGACATATTAAATTAGATGATAATACGTAACAAAAAAACTTTGATTGGATTGTTTAAAAAAAAATTTGACTAAATTTTGTAATTATCTCAACTAAAACCACTTCAAAAGCGAAGGGCTTATAATATAAACACTCATGATTGGTTTACGCTGCTGACACCAAAACTTCGCCTCCATCCCAACCGTACTGGTTTACTTTTCGGTGTAAAGGCCATCGACATCCACAGACGACACAACACAGACTGGCTTCTCCTTCCTCGTTGCTCTCGTTTTTCTACTTCTTTTACCCACAACACATCTAGTCTTCTGATCTTGTCTTCGCTAAATGATTCTATCTCCCAATCCCCCATTCTCTTGCGGTGAGTATACAAAATTCTAACCTTTTTTAAAAAAAAAAAAAAAAAAAATCTAATTAGTGTATTGTGAACCCAATGTACTAATTGTGATTGTGAATTTGTTTGAACAAGTTTATAGCTGCATTATTAACCTAATTTGTGATTTTGTTAATTGTTGGAACACAGGAAACTTGGAATTTCTTTGTTAGATACCTAATTGTGTAGAATGAAATTAGCTGACTAATTGTTGGTTAATATAGTGATTTTTTCAATGTTAACTTTCGTCCAGGTTTTGACTACTTAAAAGCAACACATATCTTGTAGATATAATTCATTATGAGAATTTTTGTGTTACAGTGGAGAATTACCAGTCTTATGTTAGTATTTTAGAATTTGGTTGGTTTGTTTTGTATGTCCTTATTGTTGCATTGTATTCAAATGCAGGGATTATGGAGCTAATAAGAATGCTTAATGATCTTTTCATATCTACAAGAAAAGATGCAGTGGATGTAGAACGCGATAGATTAAGCAGCTTGCCAGATGAACTAATCCATAAAATCCTTTCTTTCATTAACATCAAAGATGCTATTAGTACTAGTGTATTGTCATCTAGATGGAGGTTTATCTGGACTTCAATGCCCTCTCTGAAGTTCGAGAATCTCAATAATGAGCGCTACTTTTCCAGTTTTATTTATAATGTTCTCTCACACCGTAATAATCAAGTAAATTATTCAGTCAATCTCGTTCTTGGGAGAACAGTTAGGGACAATGAATCTGGTACAAGAATTCTCAGCTGTAAATTCTCTCGCAATCTTCAACACCTGAGTGTTACACGCGTGCCTGGAGGGAATATAGTTGAATGCCCATATTCCTTTATTGGGACACCAAAGTGGGACCTCCCAGCTTTAACGACTTTGCATCTTCACCAAGTCGAACTGTCTGATTATGATGATATTGGTCTTTTCTCCAAGTGCACCAACTTGAAGAACCTCTCCTTGAACCGGTGCAGAATGACGGAAACCAAAGTTTTAAATATCTGTCTTCCTCGACTTTATGATCTTACACTTGTATCTACACCCCCGGATATGGAATTAGAGGAGGTTGTGAATGTGGTTGCACCTCAACTCAAGAATCTCACAATTATAAGGTGCGAAGGGGAGCATCTGATTTCTGCACCTGAGCTTACCTCCTTGGTCATAGAAGGTTTTCAGCCTTGGTATCTTTCTACACCATCAGGTTTCCATTCGTTAGAGAAGGTTGAACTCTTTATGTACGATCCATTCAAAGCAGATATTCATAGAATAGTTTGTTTGCTTCAACAACTCCAAAGTGTCAAGTTTCTTACACTTAACTTGGGGATTCTCAAGGTATTGGTCATTGATATTGTTTACCTTCTGCATCTTACCAAGATCTTTAATCTGGAGTATGGCAAATACTCTTGTATATTCACACACATGGTTGTGAAGATTGCATTAAACTATATCTAATTTCCTTTTGTATTATCATTTGCAGCGTCTCTTTTCACAAAGGAAGGTATATCAAGAGTTCTTGCACCCCTCCATAGTTTTATGTTGTGTGTGTCTCTCTCTGTGTGTGTACACACACATGGGTAGTTTATTTTGATAATCACAAATATTGTGTGAGTGTAAGAACGAATATGGAGCATAGATCAAAAGAATCAATGGTTTTGATGAGAATCACAATTACTTATCCATGACTAAATCTATTTAATTTAGGAAGGTTCGCAATACCCAAGAATCAATTAAAATTATTGATTTTTTCAATCTGATACTCTCGATTTTTTCTTACTTATATATATATATATATATATATATATATATATATATATATATATATATATATATAATCCACAAAATTCCTCACATATCCACTTTTCTTAAAATTCAAGGGATATGGTTTCTTTATATATATATATATATATATATATATATATATATATATATATATATATATATATATATATATATATATATATATATATATGGTAAAAGTGAATATACCCTTAAGGGTATATAAGCTTAGGTACCCAAACCACCATAATACATCGTTTTGTTTGATATATTCATTATAATGTTCTTAAACTTCGATCACTAACTTGATTTAATTTCAAGATTTTCAAAATTTCACTATTATCTTCTTCTTACATCACATCTTTTTGCCGAACACTTATTAGACTATATTTATTATAGTTGAATATGAAAATTATGTAAGAGAAAGAAAGATGTGAAATTTATAAAAATCTTGGAAGTAATCAAGTTAGAAGTTGAATTATAAGAATATTGGACAATTACAATTTATATATATTTTATAAAACGACGTAGTATGGTAAGTTTGGGTACTTAAGCTTATATACCCTTAAGAGTATATTCATTTTTCCATATATATATATATATATATATATATATATATATATATATATATATATATATATATATATAGAGAGAGAGAGAGAGAGAGAGAGAGAGTCATGAAGATCACATTGATCTATATGACTATATGTAATTTTCTGCAGAGTCTATCTTCATCCATGAAACTAGTCCCACACAAAGCTTTTGCGTTTACTAACACAAAGATTTTGAAGTTTACAACAACACCTGTAGTAAAGGTATACTTGGAGGTGCAAGCACAAGAGAGGGTAACTACGTATACTGAAATAAAAAACGATGATGATGTTTCTCCAAGTGCCATCTTCCCAATGGTCTCATGTGAGGTATTTACACAGTGCCAATATAATATTGGGTTTATCCTTTTTTCTAATTTTTGCACATGCATAACCATACCAAAATATGCAACATTGTAACATGAACCGGTTACATTGCAAAAACATGAAATTTATGATGATCATGAAAACGTTGCAGGAGATTACAGCTATGGAGAATATGGCATCAGCACAAGTATTTGTAAAACACTTGGGGATATTGCTAGAGGAGTGTAAACAAAATAGAAATAGCGAGGATTACAAGGCTCAGAGGGATGTACATAGCAAACCATACGTTGAGATGCATTGGGCGTGGACATTACAATGGAACCTTGGGGCAATTATGGGAGTGTTTAAGCATAAGAAAATTAAAGCAAAATTAGATAATTTTCTCATGATGGCACAAATTACGAAAAAGTATATTAATAAGCGTGATTGCACAAAATCCGAGAATCACCCCATTATCGGATGGTTGCACGATATGCGTGGATTGTTTCAGCGCACTGGAGACTTGATAACTCAGTTGTCTGCATCAAAGAGGGCTGTAATGCTACCAATATTTTTGAGTTTGTGTGAAGACGCCGCCATTCTCACGATTAATATTTTGGGATGGATTAACACCTTAAAGTAAACTCAAGAGACCAATGCACTTGTTATTTAGTATTAATTTTTATGTCAGTATATATTGTTCTGCTAAAAGCCAAGACTTATGGGTGATTGTTTTCATTTATTTTCCTGATGTTAATTGAAAATTTAATTTAAACATCAAGTATTTAAAATATTAAAAGTAAGAGTAAATTGTAGAAATGGCATTTGGTTCGTCATTTTCTTTGGATTGCATCACAAGTTTTTTTCCCTTTTGTATAAAATGTATTATCGAAAGGTTTCATTGTAGTTTTGGTCACTTGCCAAAGTGAAATGTCAAATGATTAATTTGCACTTTTGATATACTTCATATGGTTTATTTTAGAGAAATCAAATATCCTGTCATTTTCTTCTTCGTACCATTTTCCTATAGACTTAAGATTGTGATATTTGTGATATTTAATAAAATTTTATTACACTTATCATTGTCTAAAAATGGTAGGATGATGTGTAACAAGAAAAAAAAATATTAGGATATTTAATTTCTCTTTATTTTATTTTATTTAATCTTTTATCATTAGTAAATACCCTACCCCTCTCTCTTGAAATAAGTGCCTCTCTCGTTCTCTTTTCATCTTTGTCCGGTCCACATCATGTCTCTATTCCGCTCCTTGCAGCTACTATCCTCTACTACCGTCACTCTCCTTTGTTGTTAAAAATCTCCCAAAACAATCTATCTTACACTATCTTTTACTGTCACATACCCTTTCCTCTCTCATAAATCATCCCCAAATTTTTTTACATGTGGTTACCGAATTGATTGTATGGAAAACCGGAGGAAAAGGGTTTACACTGAAATCTATTTTCTTCTTTTGGCAGAATGTGCTCTTTATTGTGTAATAATATAATTTATAAGTTATTGTAACAAAAAAATATAAGACATAAAAAACTAATAAAAAGGTGTGATGTTCACAAAAATGCCTCCAAAAGTCCTTAATAACGAAGTTATCTTCTTTGCATAATAAAGAAGATTTTATCATTTACTTAGCTAGGAAGAGTTTCTTTATAAGATGACTTTATTGCCTAAATATTAGCCATGATGCTTATCTCTCTGACAAACCTCTCTTTAAATAGAGGATTAGCTTTCTTGTTTTCATCGTCTCTCTTTCTCAAAAGCAATGTAATCTCAATAGATATAGTGAATTGAATTTTGGCATCCCCTGTCTATGGTTTTTCCTAGTTGGGTTTACATGCAAATATCTTGGGGTTCTTCACTTATTTCTTATTTCTTATTTCTTATTTCTTACTTTATATTGTTCTTGGTTGTTCACATAGTTGATTATTTGTTTGAATCATTACCATAATATTTGGCTTAACATTCGAGCTTGAAGATTTTCGATTACTATATTGGTGGTCGATTTGTCAAAGATTAGTATATATAGGAGCATCCAAGTTGGATTGAGATTCATCATATATTGTTTAACAACCATGTCATCAATAAAGTATCTTATCCCCTCTATTGACAAGTAAAGATGAGAGATGTTTTTATTCAAATGGATCTACACAAAGCACTGATGTATTCTCGTGTCATGGTGGAATGAGGAAAAAGAGACGCAAGACTTGAAGGCATCGTCATAGATTCTTTTGTATCTATCAAATGACTGTCTTCAAGATGTTCCGAAAGAAATATCTATAACAACTCTCTCTTTAAAATTGGAGCAACTAATAATGACAAAAAGCTTGCCCAACAAGTTACATATGAACTTTTAACCTTAATATGTGTGAAAGGAGTTCTTTAATTGATCGTCTTTCTATTTTCAAATATCTTGTACGAAATTTGGAAAATATGGATGTCAAATATGAAGAACAAGACTTGGCATTATTCTATTGTCATATTAACTAGATTCCTATGATCACTTTTGTGATACCATTGTCAATAGGCAAGACACTCTTGTCTTGGATGAGATAATGACCGTTCTAGACTCGAAAGAAAGGATTAAACAAATCATCAGTACAGTGATAATGATATAAAAGTCAAATATCTCAATGCCAGAGGAAGACATATGGAGAGAAGCAACAACAACTAACAATTCTGTAACAAGTTAAGATCTAAGTCCAAATGCAAGTGTAATACTACAACTATTTCCACAAGAAATGACACCAAATTGATGAGTTCTTCCACTTAAGAAAACAAGGAGAAGGAGAAAGCAACCACAAACGAAAAGAAAACTAGTATGTTTATTGAAGCCAATATAGCTTGGTTCTGATGGTGAGCAATCCATTTTTGATGATTGTTTGGACCAACGAATGGGTTCTTGACTTTGCGTGTAGTTTTCACATGAGTCTAAACAAAGATTGTTTCCACACATATGAAAAGGTTATTAACCAAGTGTACAACAACAACAACAACAACCACAAAACCCCAAGTCCCATAAAAAATAAGGTAAAGGGGGAGGTAAGATGGTTGGTAGCTGTAGTTGTTTCCAAATAAGACCTCCGACAAAAAACTATGAGAAAGAAAAGAAAAGAATAAGGTTACAATATAGAGAGAAAGCGAATGCACACTTGTAACGTCCCCAAAATGCAGAGTAAAATTTTCATTTATTATTAAAAACATTTTTTCAAATTCCAAATTCAGAGATCTAAATTTGTTTCAGAACGTTAATCAGAATATAAACAAAAAATTTATTAAGTGCAATAAATTGGTCGAACTTAGTTTGGCCTAAAGTCAAACTTAGTAAAAAATCAAAAAGTCAACAACTTGGTTAAACACGCGCCCCGCACCTCGGCGTCTCGCACACACTAAATGACAAAATAGTTGGGTTTCTTAGCTTAAACATGGGCATTTCCAAAAATCCAGAAAAGCACGCCGTGCATGGGAAAGATGTGTTGCGCCCAGGCCACATTCATAAGGTAAAATGACTTACTCTATTCAGTCAATCCCCCAAACATCTAGATCTGGTTCTTAATTGTAACACCCCGGAAATCATAGGGTAAAACTTTCATTTTTAATATATATATTCAAACATTTAAAAGTATTCCAGAGTAAAACAATTATCAGAATAAAATCCCAAAATCACGAATTGCGGAAAAACACGGGTGTACGCGCTACGATCAAGCCAGGCCCTTCCCATTCGAACCGGAAGTACCTGAAACCATAAACTACAAACTGTAATCACAAAGCTTAGCGAGTTCCCCAAATACCATATACCATACATATTATACGAACCATTCATAACATACATATCCAACAATCAATAGAAAGTGTTATGTGCCAACCACAATCTTTGTAACGACGTGAAAATTTAAAACAATTTTGCATTTTCAAACATAACATATTTCACATAAATCAGCTCAATACTCGAGTGTATCAAATGTTATCACGGTAAAACATATCCCAGAATCTCAATTACAAAATCCTCTGCCAGTGTGTACAAATCATGCTGGCGCCTTCCCGCGATCCTCGCTAGTACCTGAAACACAATTCACATACCACGGTAAGCATAAATGCTTAGTGAGTTCCCCAAAATACCACATATAGCACATAAGCCACTTGGGGCTACAACTCGGTATGACCTTCTGGTCAATGTGTCTCAGCGGGACCCTCCAGTCTCGTAGCTCGTTGGACCCTCCGGTCCAGTCTAGCTCGTTGGACCCTCCGGTCCGGTCTAAATCGTTGGACCCTCGGGTCCGGTCTATATAACACATAGCATACATATAACACAAAGCACATAAATCTCAAACATACACATACACATAAGACCCTCCGATCTGCACATAGATACCACTCTAGGTAATGTATAATGAGAAGACTCACCTCGGATAACCTCGGAAAGTCTCGAACTCGAAATACTGATCTAGCCTCCGTCTAATCACATAAAGTAATTTACCTCTAATTAACAACGATTCTCATAGGCTAGACAAATCCCTTCTTATAATCTCTCAGAAGTGGAAAAGACCATTTTACCCCTCCAATGGTCCAAATGTCCAAATGTTGACCAAACCCTAAAAGTCAATGAAAGTTAACTCCAGTCAATGGTCTAACTTTGACCAGACTCGTCGAGTGCACTCGGGTGACTCGGCGAGTCCATGCGTGCCCTCTGAATCCTCCTAAGGCCTCAATCGACTCGTCGAGTTAACCTTTCACTCGACAAGCTACCACTGATCACGAATCGCGGAGCAACACGATTCGACTCGTCGAGTCCTCTCATGGACTCGGCGAGTTTCCTCCATGACAATGCTCAAACGACCTTCTGAGGTCAGATCTGTTTCTCTAACTTATAGATCTGGCCTTCTAACACCCAAAAATCACGTAAAGGTCTGAACTTGGTGTCCATGCATGGTGTATCTTGCATAATATACCATAGAAACCCCATTAATGCTTCCTAGCTTCAAAACCCTATGATTTCTCTACTAAAGCTTCATACTTTCTGGCTCTCTGGACCTAGAAAGGTCCATATCTATAACACAACTTGCAAGAGGGGTTTGATGCACTCAAGACCCCAATAAGGAGGTGATTCAAGCCCTAATCCTCAATAAATGGAATCTACACAATAGGGAAGAAAGGGGGTTCGATTTGGTACCTCAGAATGAAACTCCTTGCTTGAATAACTCAGATCAACAACCTCCTCTGGTTCCTTTTAGCTGGAATATTCTTCCTCCTTGCAAAATCACACAAAATAGCTCAAGATAGCTCTCTCTCTCTCTCTCTCTCTCTCTCTCTCTCTATCTTTATCTCTCTCTCACTCTACACACTCAAAGCTTGTGCCTTTAAATAGGGCACTGGCCTAAAGATTTATGGTTTCTGCCCACAGCGCGGACTCGTCGAGTCCATTCATTAATCCGAGTCATCAGTCGCGATCCCACTCGACGAGTTTAGGCGTCAACTCGTCGAGTCACTCCTTTCGAAGGAGATGCCTTAAGAAGCACGAAATCTCCAACCTGGAACTCAAGCTCGGATCGTCGCCTATCCGCATAGCTCTTCTGGCGGCTCTGGGCTATTAGCAACCACTGCATGACCTGCTGTATCTGCTCAGTCGTCTTAAGCACTATCTCAGTGCTACCCATCACTCGCTGCCCTACCTCTTCCCAACAGATGGGAGTTCGACACCTCCTCCCATATAAAAGCTCAAAGGGAGGCATGCCTATACTCGAATGGTGGCTGTTGTTGTAAGAAAACTCAGCCAAAGGTAGGTATGTGTCCCAA